GTGACTGCTGTGACTGGCTCGGGCCTGATCAACTGGACTGACCGCTGGAAGCACTCCATACAGGAGGTACACTAGACACTAGCAGTGCATAATAGAGATCCTGGGGCCTAGGAATGGCTGGAGTACCGTTGACGGCTGGAAGTGTTGAATGAACAGGATGACTCCCATAACCCCTACCCTGACGAGCTGTAGATGGGGCACGAGAACTGTTATACGTGCTAGAATCTTGGAGTTTCTTAGCTTCCCTCTCTTCTCTCTCCTGGATCTGCATACCCTCCAATCTCCTAGCAATAGACACTACCTGCTGGTATGCGATGTCCATCTCCAACTCTCGGGCCATACTGAATCTGATACTAGGTTGGACCCCCTCAATAAATCGGCGAACCCTCTCTCGAACAGTAGCAACCAAGGCTGGTGCATGCCTAGCCAAATCACTGAATCGGACCGCATACTCTGACATGGTCATAGAACCCTGGCGCATCTGCTCAAACTCTGCGCGCCATGCATCTCTAAGACTCTGAGGAACGTACTCCCTCAAGAACATATCTGAAAATTGAGTCCAAGTAAGTGAAACTGCCTTAGCCGGACTATCCAACTCGTATGTCCGCCACCACTGGTAGGCCGCTCCTCTAAGCTAGAATGCCGTAAAAGAAACCCCATTGGAATTCACAATACCTATAGTATGGAGGATACAGTGACATTCCTCAAGAAAACCCTGAGCATCCTCTGAAGCTAAACCGCTAAAAGTGGGATGGTGGTACTTCTTGTACCTCTCGAGCCTGAGCTGCTCTCCCTATGAAACTACTGCCCTAACCTCGGGCCGAACCGGGACAACTGGCTACACTGGTATAACCTCTGGGGCATGGTCAACCTGGGCTCGTGGTTCTGGGGTACGGGCGGCGGGAGTCTGTGCTCCTCCCCCGGCGTAAGATGTGGCAGGAGCAAGTAGAATTAACCCTGCCTGAGCTAGAGTGCCAAACATGCTCATAAACTGGGCAAGAGTCTCCTGAAGTGCAGGGGTAGTAACAGGCGTCTCAGGTGCCTGCCCTCCAACTGGAGCTACTGGTGGCTCTGTTGCTGCATCTTGTGCAGGTGCTCTGGCTGCACCACGTGGTCTTCCTTGGCCTCTGCCCCGGCCTCTTACGGCTCTAACAAGGGGCGTGGGTGTCTGATCATCGGATCCAGTTGTGCGTGTCCTTACCATATGTGAGAATATAGAAAGACACGAGTTTAGAACTTCGTAATCAACAAATATGTACGATAAGGAATCAAAGAAGTGAACATTTTCCTAACAGTTCCATAGCCTCCCGAAGATAAGTACAGACGTCTCCGCATCGATCCGTAAGACTCTACTAAACCTGTTTGTGACTCATACACCTATGAACCTAGTGCTATGATACCAACTTGTCACAACCCCAATTTACCCTCTGTAGGATGTCGTGATGGCACATAATCTCTAAGACTAGGTAAGCCTAACAAACTGCGGAATAACATAATAAAAGTCTAAAACTCAAACCTCAATAGTTATAATAGACGAAAACTGCAAGTCAAAGAACTACAATCTCCCAAAACCCGGTAGAAACAAGTCACAAGCTTCTAAGAGAAATACTAAATGTCTCTCTATACATCAGAGTCTACTAAAACAAGAAACAACATGATAAGAATAGAGGGGGACTCCGAGGTCTGATGCTGGCAGATGTACCTTGAAGTCTCCGTATACAAGTAGCTCACTGATATCTGGGTTGGTAAGCAGTACCTGGTTCTGCACAAAAAGATGTGTAGAAGAGTAGCATGAGTACACCATAGCGGTACCCAGTAAGTGCCAAGCCTAACCTCGGTAGAGTAGTGACGAGGTCAGGTCAAGCCCCACTAGAAATAATGGAAAAAATATGACAGAGGATATAATAGTATAATGAAATGACTGAAGAGAGAATAACACAACAAAAAGAGGTAAACAACAGGGGCGCTCCCGAGATATTGTCTCATGTCCCAAAAGTAAATGCTCAATAGGGGATCTACCGAGATACAGTCTCGTAGTCCCAAAAGTAAATATGCAAGGGGATCTCTTGAGGTACCGCCTCATAGTACCAAAAGTAAATATGCAGTACAGGGGGATCTCCCGAGGAACCGCCTCGTAGTCCCAAAGTAAATATGCAGTACAGGGGGATCTCCCAAGGAACCGCCTCGTAGTCCCAAAGTAAATATGCAGCACAGAGGATCTCCCAAAGAACCACCTCGTAGTCCCAAAGTAAATATGTAGTACAGGGAGATCTCCCGAGGAACCACCTCATAGTCCCAAAGTAAATATGCAGCAGGTAGTCGGAGGAACAACAATTGTTTCATCAAAAATCTTATAGTTAAAGATTTAAATCAAATCAAAGAAGCAGGTAATTCAGCTAAGCATGTTGCACATATTGCAAGTAAGAGTTAAGGCACATAGACATGTGATACTAGGCTAAACATGATCACTACATATACTAAAGCAACTCAATTAAAGAATTTAATTGAAGACTACTCAGCGATAACCGACATTTCCAAATTTAGCTGTGTACGCACTCGTCACCTCGCATACACGGCACTCACATATCACAAAATGTTACAACGGTATCAAATCCTAAGGGGATTTCCCCCCCACAGGGTTAGACAAGCCACTTACCTCGAATCACGCTCAATCAGTCAAGTAGAATGCCTTTTTCTCGATTTTTCGACTCCGATCGGCTCAAATCTAGTCATAATTAATTCGATTCAGTCAATACAAATTATAGGAATAAATTCCATATGAAAATACAAAGTTTTCCAACAAAATTCGGAATTTAGCTCAAAATCGCCCGTGGGGCTCACGTCTCGGAACCCGACAAAAGTTACAAAATTCAAAAGCTCATTCAACCACGAGTCTAACCATACCAATTTTACCAAAATCGGACCTCAACTCGGCATCCAAATCTCAAATTCTCATTTTAAAATCCCTAGGTCCAAATCCCCGATTTACACCTCAAAAACATATAATCTAGTCGGATTATTCGATGATAATTCAATATTATAACAACAACCCAGTATAATCCCACTAGTGGGGTCTGGGGAGGGTAGTGTGTATGCACACCTTACCCCTACCCCGGGGTAGAGAGGCTGTTTCCGATAGACCCCCTACTCCCTCCCTCCAAGAACTCCCCACCTTGCTCTTGAGGTGACTCGAACTCACAACCTCTTGATCAAGATTTCCCGTAAAAACCTAGCTCAAAATTGCCCAGCCCGAGCTTGAAATGCCCAAAAATGGCAAAAGCTTGGAAACCCTCTGTTTTTGTACTGTCCAGGGGTTTCCGCTTCTGCGAGATTTTTAGCCGCATCTGCAGTCTCGCAGATGCGAGAATTCCTTCGTTTCTGCGGCTTCATCGCTTCTGCGGACAAGAAGTCCGCTTCTGCATACTCGCTTCTCCGAAGCTGCCTGGCCCCCCTCATTCCGCTTCTGCAATCGAACCTTCGCAGGTGCGACGCCGCTTCTGCGGACCACCCATCTGCACCTGCGACCACTGCCTCACCAGCCCCTTGTCCGCTTCTGCGCTTGCCATGCTCGCTTCTGGGAGCTCGCACCTGCGAGCCAATTTTTCCGTAGGTGCGATTGCACAATCTTTCAGATTTTCTTCTAAGTCCGAATTTGATCCGTTAACCATCATACAAACTTAGTCGAGCCTTCAAATCACGTCAAACAATACTAAAACCACGAATCATACCCAAATTCAAGCCTAATGAATTTTGAAATTTCAAATTTCAACAGATGATGCCGGAACCTATTAAATCACGTCTGATTGACCTCAAATTTTGCACACAAGTCATTAATGATATAATGAACCTATTCAAATTTCCAGAATCGGATTCCGACCCCGATATCAAAAAGTTAACCCCCAGTTAAACTTCCCAAAAATTTAACTTTTACCATTTCAAGCCCAATTCCACTACGGACCTCCAAATAATTTTTCGGACACGCTCCTAAGTTCAAAATCACCACACAGAGCTATTAGAATCATCAAAACTTTATTGCGGTGTCGTTTACACATAAGTAGACACTGAGTCACTATTTCAACATAAACTTTAAACTTTGGAACTAAGGGTTCTAATTTATTCCAAAATTTCATCGGACCCGAATCAATCACCGCGACGAGTCACATAACAACTGTAAAGTATAAATAGAGCAGTAAATGGGGGAACGAGATTGTAATTACTCAAAACGATCGGCCGAGTCGTTACATCGCCCCATACGGTGAGTGGCATCCTCGTCAATCTCCCCATTCCCTTGGATAACTGACCTAAGATACTTGAAACTTACTCTCTTAGGATGACTTGTGAGTCAAGCTTCACGTCTACGTCCGCTCCCCTTGTTGCGTCGCTGAACTTGCACTTTAAGTATTCTGTCTTAGTCATGCTCAACCTGAAACCTTTAGACTTTAGGATCTCTCTCCAAACCTCCAATTTTTTGTTAACATCGTCTCACGTCTCATCAATCAGTACTATATCATCATCAAATAACATACACTATGACATCTCCCCTTGAATCAGACAATGCTATTCCCAATATTTATATTTAGATTCTTTACTTTGTTTGAATCTCTACGATTCAATCAAGAGGGAGGGAATTTGCTCTCATTAATTTAAGTGTTTTAGTTTAATTAGGTATAAAGTTTAAGAAAATAAATTTTGTACCTTAAAAAGTCATGTAAAATATTAGAATTTAGAAAGAACCATTTTATTTATATTTTAAAATGGATTTAAAAGGAAAATAAAACACTTAAATTAAAATGGAAGTAATTAATTGTTCACAATCCCCACGCGATGAATGTTGAATTCGACAATTAATCCTCAACATCACTCCGTCCCACAATTTACACTAGAGTTCTCTCCTCACTCTGCTTGAAAGTTGAAACTTGAAATTTTCCAAAACCAATGGCCAAAAGTCTAAAACCCTCGCTCCAAACCCAATTGAGCTACATCCTCTGTTCACAGCTTGAGAAACCTAAATGGAAGATGAAATTGCCTTTTCCCACTACTCAGTTCTACAAAAAATATCAGCAAAAGGCCTTCTATTCTGTGTTGCTATGAAGGTTACTTTACTCTGCTTTCTTTGTACTCTGAACCTTTGGCATTTTGATTTGTTCTCTTTGTGGTTTTAAGAATTTTGGTCTAACTAGAATTTGGGTTCATATATCTTTTCATTGAATTTCACTAAAGATTAACTTGAACAAGAAACAAAATAGGGAGGGGAGACTGCACAAGCTAAGAATTTTGAAAGTAAGCAGAAAATAAGATTCAAAACAACTAAAACATGCTTTTATTTATGCACATGGAGTTTAAGAACATGCTTGTACACCAAAGGAAGGAAGTGAAAGGGGGCATGGGGGTTGGGGGAAGGTAACTGTTCTAAATAGTTCTATGCATCTAAAAAGTTTGCTAATACATACACCATATACAACTGAAACCATTGGTTCTACTGCTAGGAAGAATGAGGCACTGGATATGCAACTGGAGCCATATCTAGAAGGATGCCATGATAGAACAATCCACTAGAAGATGCTGCAGCGCGAAATCCAACAATACTGGGCGAGGAACACGTAATGACATCGGAGTTCGTGAAATAATAGGCCCGCGCCGCACGGTAATTCTAGTGAAACCAGTGATAGATTAAGATTTACCATCCTTTTCATAAAATCCAATCATGTGATCCGGGAATAGGTCTTCCAAATCAAAGATGTTGTCGTCCTTTATGCCAACATTAAAGTTTGGATATACTCCCCCACCACTAGTGCCAGGAATTGACATTAATGGGTTAGAATCAACAGAAAGACCTGCTTCAGGAGCTCCCACAATGCTCTCAAAATCGTTCTTAGCACCACTGCTAGAAGCTGTACAATCATGGACTCCAATATGATCGGCAATTGATAATGGCAATCTTGCAGTGTTAACGATAGGACCAACTTGAGTGGCTTCAACCAACTGCTTGGTGATTAACTCTTCCATTTCATACCCAACATTATTGACTGGATGAGTGTACATTCCAGCGCCACCAGCAAAAGATGGTTGCCAGCTAAGTGATGGAAATGTCCTAGTGTCAACCCCGCGCCACGCTTCAGAGGTGCCCTGTGCCGGTACAGTGATTAGGTCTTCTACACCTAGCAGGAACTCATCATCCACAATGGGAAGTGAACTATTCAACTCACTAACAATAGCAGTACCAAACGGGAAATTCTCAGGGTTAACACCGGGTGGTCCTTCAATAGCATCAGTCATGCAGTTGGCAACTGCCTTGGTAAAGGTAACATCCCTGTCTCAAAAGCTTCAATCACATAGTGATTGGCCATTGTAATTGTCCTCCACAAGGTCCATTCAACTTTTCAGTTTTTTGTCCTTGTGAAGGTTCAGTAGTACCAGCATCCATACTAGTGATATCATGAATGCTTCTTCTCTTCTTCGCCTTATTATTGTATTTTAATCGACTGAAGAACTTCTGCGCATGGCTTGCCACCTGTGTTGGTTTTCTGGATACCCCACAGTGCCTAGATATACTTCTCCAATCACCTCTTCCATATTTCTCCAACCCCTGGAGAAACAACCTATGACAGGAAATAAGATTGAAAGAAGTTACTAGCCTTGGAATTTAATTCCGGAAGTAAATTGCAAGACAATATCTGCTTAAACCTAATACACTCGCTCAATTAACTGACACTTTTTATGCATCCTAGATTTTCTACTGGTTATACATACATTTTTAACTTCCATTTATATCCAATGAACACATCTAATAAATTTGAATTACCAAGTTTGGTGTTATTTCAGCAAACATTTATCACTACTGACGACCCGCAACCTAACCGGGAAATTACAATTTACACTAATAATATGGCACTAGTGGATGTTATTTTGATGTTTATTGGATCATCCCACTTATCAAGAAAGAGATGTTTATAGAATCATCTCCTCAAGCACCACATCATTCCTTGTCGCAATTGTCCCTCTCAATTCAACAACAAATCCTCTTTTGGCTTCTCAAATTGTTGTAGGCTATATTTCTCTTATCTTCAGTAAAAATTAAATGGAACAGTATTTTCCAACAGAAAAGCAGAGCTCCTCTGAAATCAGTAGAACGCTCGCTGAAGCAAAGTAGGGTCCAAAGATTTTTTGTTGTTGTTGTAAGCCCATCCTCACCACGAAAAGAAAGAGAAATATAAATATTGTATACTAGAAAGTTTTCCCAATACATCAAACAAACTTTCTATGTTAGTGAAAAAATCAAACAAACTTTAGAAGTTCTAATCACGAGAGAGAGACAGAGATAGAAACTTGACGAGTCGAATCCAGTTGAAAAATCCTAGTATATGTGTGTGTGTGTGTGTGTGGGGGGGGGGGGGGGAGCTTGCAAGCACCTAATCTATCATCAGGTATATTTGGATAAATTTCTTTAATAAATATATGCTTTTGTACCTTCTTTAAGTATCTAGTGACTAAGGTTTGCTACTGAAGTTAATCCATTCGGAAGCTAAATTAGAGTATGGGATGAGGTTACAGAAGTATGAATATGATTGGCTGTACTTTGTGATTAATGCCTTTCTGCTAAGTGTGCTAGTATTTTTAGAGTCCTGAAACATGTGTACTTCAAGGGGAAAACCAAAAGAAGAAAAAAGAACTATCTGCCAATTTTGATCGAGGAATTAATGACTGATTCAATGTTCCTCTATTTAAAGTGGTTAGGATTCTTTTCCTTTTCCATATGTTAGACATCATGATATCCTTATTATTTAGTCGCCATAAAATTTTAAAGCTTAACCGCATATCAAACATTATATATTTTAATGGCATATGGCTGTTGGGAATTGTATTAATGTATATCTTTAGTTGTAATATCAAGCATCGGACTATTACTCCTGCCTGAGTATGATGTTTGGTAATTGAACTCTAGAGAAGGAAAATTCGGGAATGAAACCTTAGATGTACCCCATGAGTTTAATGTTTTCTCAGCTTCATAACATAATGGCCTTTTGGTTTCTGTTGATAACATGAGCTATTCTAACTGCTAAGGACTTACTCTGGACCTCTAAATTTATCCTTTCCGCACTTTTTATTTGGAGGGTCAAGGATCCTTGGGAATCGAATGAATTTTCGGCATTTTATCATATTAAAAACTTGTCATCTGTGATTTGTTTACAATTGAGAGGCATTTATAAGTTGTTAGCTTCTAATTTGTCCATTATGTGGTGGCCATTTGATGAATGCCCATTTTGGTATTTTTGCAACATGGTTCTTTCACAAGATACTTTGTGGAAGTTATTCACTTTGAAATCTTTTGAATTACTTGAAAATATTTTGTCTCTCCGAAGAACCAAAATTTTAAGTATTTTAGCTGTTAAACGGGGACTTTGTTCTGGCAAAGATAGCAAGATTCTCTAGAGTGGTGCTTTATGGTGTGGTTGCATTTGGTTTGAAATTCACGCCAAAACATTTCAAAGTCGAATCTTTTGATATACCATATGTTCAACTGGGCTTTCTTTTGCTTTATGTGGTGCAAGACAAATGCCCATTCAAGATTTAAGTTAGTGGGTGTGAAGTACCACCAGCTGCTCCTTTGTGTCAATGGGTGCAAACTTGTTATAAATATTTATCTTCTAATTTTTTTTTGAACTATATAATCTGAGCTATAGCAGCAAGTGTGGGTACACCATTTCGGAGAATTTACATCCTCTATCTGCAAAGCAATAGATCTCTTTTTTCTCTCAAAAAGGCTGTAGATCTCTTTCAGATATCCTCTTGATTGGTCTCTAACAAGAATAGAAAGATATGCTTCATTGATGTAGTTGTAGTTCAGCTTGAGCACAATTTGTTGTCGTTATATCTCATAATGAAACCTTCTTCCTAATAGTAAAAAAAATGATGATCTCTTAATTATATACTTTTTTTAGACCTGATGCGGTAGAGAGCTGTAGGTTCTATTTCAAATATAGAAATATCTTGTCAAACTCTTACTGTTTAGCTCCATATCATACAAATCTCTTTCCGTATTCTATTTTACCTTCCCAGAGCGAGTTCATTAATCAGACATTTACTGTTTACTTTTGCGTTAAATGGTTGAAAGCCTTTTAAAATAAATATAAAGTAGCTAAATACAGGAGCAACAGTCACAAAAGTAAAATTTTTTCCGCAAAGTCATATGTTACAGTGTTAATCCTGCTTAGTTAGCCAATAGCCTCATCAAAGTCTTATATTTCAGTGAACTTTGGTTGTTTTACTCCACGTTGATGTACAACTTAACATCTAGAAACAAAGTCGTCGTTGTGGTCATTCTGTTTTAATGTGCCACCTGCCCGTTCCCCTTATGAGTTGCTCTCATTACTGTAGTTAAAATTAATAGCTGATTAAAAAAGTAGGAGTCTTGCTGCCATTCTTTCTGTTAACCAAGTGTCAGTGGGTACAGAAAATCATATATAGATGCAACAAATATTTATGCCGGTCTTTGTCATATATAGAAGTCATCCGTTTTGGGAATACTCTTCAGAAACTTTCCCTTTCACATCAAAAATCACTGTAGATCTAACAAAATGAACTCTGACCAGACATGCAATAGCTCCTCCTGGACTAAGGAGGAAGACAGAGCATTTGAGACTGCCCTAGCCATTTATGCTGGAGATAGCAATCAATTGATGAAGATCGCTGCAGCAGTTCCACGGAAATCTATTCCAGAAATCTTACAACATTATAAAAAACTTGTTGATGATATAAACGATATTGAGGCTGGAAAAGTTCCGCTACCTCAATACGGGAGAATGCAAGGTTGTTCCAGCCGCAGAAGTAGATTATCTGGAGCAGAGGTAGAACGGCGAAAAGGGGTCGCTTGGACTGCAGAGGAACACAGGTGAGGTTTTTTCTGCAAATTTGGTAATTACCATGTTAGTTTGCTTTGAAATATCTGGCTAAATTGATGATTATCTAATCTCTACAATTATGTGTTTCTTAATGGTTGAATAAATATCATCGCTTACTGTAAGGATTAAGAAGTTCTTTGCAACAAAATGCTTTTTCTTTCCCTTTATTTTTGAGATTAACAACAATTCCGTCAATTTGGACCAAAACCGCCGACAAAACTGTGCTAATATGTAATCATCTCTAAAATCCATTTTTAATTATATATGGATGTGGTATATGTAAATGTATAATAGACAGTTGGTCCTAAGCAACGTCTTGCACGAATCTAAGTGGATCTTGTGTGAATTTTTAAAGAAAAAATGCCACTCTGAAAATTTGGTATCTGACAATATGGAAGAGAGCTCATCTGCTTTGGCTAGTAATTTCTTCAATTTTCTTTTAGCCTTTTTTTTCTCAAGAAAAATTAAACGCAATGCTTTTTTTTGTGTAAGTTTTGTCTTTTTCACAGAAGAGTGGAGTACAGCTCGAAATCAATTTTGTAACGTAAGTCATTGCGTCATCAGTATATTTGTTATTCACAAACAGATGCGTGACATACTATATATGGACAAGTTATTATAGACATCAGACTTATAAAGGCTTCAATCTAACTCATGCTGGAAACACTTGTGATATTTGTTGCTGACGAAAAGTGATATGAACAATATAGGTATAGCCCACCAAGCTTAGTCCATTTATAGTTTCTTCTTTAGCACCTTATTGAATACCATGCGAAGAGCCAATTAGATGCTGGCAATAAATGATTAGGTAAAATAAACTAGAGCAATTTGATGTATTGGGAAAACTTTCTAGTATGCAATATTTATATCTCTTTCTTTTCTTGGTGAGGATGGGCTTACAACAACAAAAAAATTTTTTTGGACCCTACTTTGCTTCAGCGAGCGTTCTACTGATTTCAGAGGAGCTCTGCTTTTCTGTTGGAAAATACTGTTCCATTTAATTTTTACTGAAGATAAGAGAAATATAGCCTACAACAATTTGAGAAGCCAAAAGAGCATCTGTTGTTGAATTGAGAGGGACAATTGCGACAAGGAATGATGTGGTGAGTGAGGAGATGATTCTATAAACATCTCTTTCTAGATAGGTGGGATGATTCAATAAACATCAAAATAACATCCACTAGTGCCATATTATTAGTGTAAATTGTAGTTTTCTGGTTAGGTTGCGGGTCGTCAGCAATGATAAATGTTTGCTGAAATAACACCAAACTAGGTAAATCAAATTTATTAGATGTGTTCATTGGATATAAATGGAAGTTAAAAATGTCTGTATAATCATACCGACCTCTGAGTAGAAAATCTAAGATGCATAAGAAGTGTCCATTAATTGAGTGAGTGTATTAGGTTCTTGCAATTTATTTCCGGTATTAAATTCCAAGGCTAGTAACTTCTTTCAATTTTCTTTCCTTTCATAGGTTGTTTCTCCAGGGGTTGGAGAAATATGGAAGAGGTGATTGGAGGAGTATATCTAGGCACTGTGTGGTATCCAGAACACCAACACAGGTGGCAAGCCATGCGCAGAAATTCTTCAGTCGATTAAAAGACAATAATAAGGCGAAGAGGAGAAGAAGCATTCATGATATCACTAGTGTGGATGCTGCTACTACTGAACCTTCACAAGGACAAAAAACTGAGAAGTTGAATGGACCTTGTGGAGGGCAATTACAATGGCCAATCACTGACTATGTGACTGAAGCTTTTGACCCAGGGATGTTTCCTTTACCAGGGCCAGTTACCAACTGCATGACTGATGCTATTGGAGGACCATCCGGTGTTAACCATGAGAATTTCCCGTTTGGTACTGCTGTTGTTAGTGAGTTGAATAGTTCACATCCCAATGTGGATGATGAGTTCCTGCTAGGTGTAGAAGACTTAATCACTGTACCGACACAGGGCACCTCTGAAGCGTGGCACGGGGTTGACACTACGACATTTCCATCACTTAGCTGGCAACCATCTTTTGCTGGTGGCGCTGGAATGTACACTCATCCAGTCAATAATGTTGAGTATGAAATGGAAGAGTTAATCACCAAACAGTTGGTTGAAGCCACTCAAGTTGGTCCTATCGTTAACACTACAAGATTGCCATTATCAATTGCCGATCATATTGGAGTCCATGGTTGTACAGCTTCTAGCAGTGGTGCTAAGAACGGTTTTGAGAGCACTGTGGGAGCTCCTGAGGCAGGTCTTTCTGTTAATTCTAACCCATTAATGTCAATTCCTGGCACTAGTGGTGGTGGAGTATATCCAAATTTTAATGCTAGCATAAAGGACGACAACATCTTTGATTTGGAAGACCTATTCCCAGATCACATGATTGGATTTTATGAAAAGGATGGTAAATCTTAATCTATCACTGGTTTCACTAGAATTACCGTGCGCCGCGGGCCTATTATTTCACGATTCCGATGTTATTACGTGTTCCTCGCCCAGCTAGTACACTTGGATTTCGCGCTACAGCATCTTCTAGTGGATTGTTCTATCATGGCATCCTTCTAGATATGGCTCCAGTTGCATATCCAGTGGTTTCATTCTTCCTAGCAGTAGAACCAATAGTTTCAGTTGTATATGGTGTATGTATTAGCAAGCTTTTTAGATGCATAGAACTATTTAGAACAGTTACCTCCCCCCATGCCCCTTTTCACTTCTCTGTGTCCTTTGGCGTACAGGCATGTTCTTAAACTCCATGTTTATAAATAAAAGCATGCTTTAGTTGTATTGAATCTTATTTTCTGCTTACTTTGAGAATTTTCTTAGTTTGTGCAGTCTCCCTCCCTATTTTGTTTCTTGTGCAAGTTAATCCTTTGTGAAATTCATTGATTGGTCCAAACAATTACGGAGATCTGGCATAGTTTGACATTCATCACTAGAGCTTTTCAAAGTACAAATTAGTTTTCAAAACAATTCTGATGGTGCAAAAAATCTTTTTAATATAAATGGATTTTAATTGTTTACTTTTCTTAATACAGAGATACCATTATATTTGTGTCGAGTTTTCATTGTATTGATAAGTACTAAATAAAATAACATGGGCATTTAAAGTAATTCACTCTAATATGTGGTTAGTTTTCCTTCTTAAACTCTGTATCAAACTCGTCAAATTATGAGAAATGATAAAACAGAGTTAGCAATAACTCTGTGTCTAAAAGACTTTAGTATCTTTCACACAGATTAACTTGTCTTCAAAATTGGATTAAGCTAGCCTACACTTGCGGAAACTAGGAGGATTGAAGTAGAAAAACCGCTAGTGATTGAAACTAAAGCGAAAAGGGCGATCAAGAACTCAGGAGTAGTCAATAAAATAAGTGTCCAGAATTGCAAATCTCCTATATGTATCCAGACTGTTGTTAATTACTTTTCCTCTTTGGTCCTCAAATTTGCGTGTTCAAGGAACTGAAGATTCTTGCAGAAATGCAAGGTAAGACTGCATACGATAAACTCTTGTGGTTCGGCCCTTCCCCGGACCCTCGCGAATAATAGGGGCTTAGTGCACCAGACTGCTCTTTTTTTGTACATTAGCTTTCTCTTCCTCATTTTTTAGTTTGGGAAAAATGCATTTTACCCCCAATGATTTTCTAAATTAACATATTCTCTTTGAGTCCTATAAAATATACCGGTACATTTCAATCTTCAAAGTTGCATTTAAATATTTTCCCCTTGATTAGATATATGCTTAACTCCGCTAATGTGAGTTTGCTCATATTACCGATCCCAAGTACAAATAAAGGAGGAGTATCAGATTAGGTTAAAAATTCGTAAAATTAATCAATTTATAATAAATTTTCACATTATAAATATTATGATCTTAAATGAAACAGTTTAATTAATGATTCATACATAATATAACGCACTTCATTTAAGCTTGGAACTGAGACATAAATTATATGGAGATAAACTATAACCGAATAATATATAACATCATAGATAGGATAATATAAGCTTGTACGAATCTTTCTGCTATAGCGGATGTCCATCAAAGAATTGTTGAAAAGTGTCAAGTATTGGAAACTGAGTCATACTTTAATACTTCTTCCTCATAAAGTATGCTTATGCAGGAGGGGAGTTAAATTTCCGTACGTACAAGAGGGATTAGCAAAAGTTTGGTTTTTATATCAAACTAATATTGGATTTTTGGATTTCGGATCAAGATACAGTCACACCCTCTTTTATATATCCGTTCTATATTTCTATTTTGATCTAAAATAAGTGTTCTTTTACATTATCAAAAAGACATTAACTTTATTTTTCTAAAATTTATACTTATTTACATATTTCAAGGGGTTAAGTTAACAATATGTAAATTTAATTAATGGTAATTTAGTCAAAATATTTGTTTTATATGTTAGTATTTTGTTAAGAGATGTGCCAAAAGAAAAAAATAAAAAAATAATCGCTTATTACTTGAGGATAAGTATTGATAAAGTATATTAATTTGATGCAAACATAAAAAAGTAAAATTTACCCAACAAATTTCAAGTGAGAAAAAGATACAGTTCATCGGAAAAGAAAATCCCACAATTTTCCTCCCAAAAGCAGACAACAAATGCTTTAACACAGAAGTAATATAGGTAAATTTTAGGATCTCGAAAATAATTCAAGATTTAGAGTTGGGTGGTCGTGAATTAGGAAAATGGAAAGTGGGTTCAGCGCAGAAGATCTTTCCACAATCGGAGGCATTGCCACCGTATCACTCTTACATTCATTCATCCCTACGCATTGGTTGCCTTTCTCCATTGTTGGCAGAGCTCAGAAATGGACTCTCTCTCGTACCCTTCTTGTCAGTTAGTACCTACTCTTTTTTCTTTTTCTTTGCTTTTACATTTCTAGACTTTTTGCTGTAGATCTTGAAGATATGTGATTTGGGTTCTTGGGATTAGATGGGTAAATGCAGAAGAAATTGATAAAGTTTTGATTTTGATGGGTGGATTTGTTGGATTCTTGTATCTTGATGCTTGCAATGAGTGTTTCTATTGCTTTTTTAGTTTTGTTTTTTCGTGGGATTTGTTGATAGAATTGTATAAGCACAAAATGTAGATACACCTGAGATGAGATTATATTACAACATGTTGAACTTACTTCCACGGAAGCTTGGAACTTTTCAGCAATCAAGCTAGAGGAATTTGCACCTCGACATTTTATATGGATAAGTTGTATTAGCTGATTTCATTACTCTCTTCGAATGATCACTTTGGTGATTTATGGTTTGGAAATTTGCCTGAGCATCGTTCTGGGATTTTAAAACTTGCAGACGAGAGAAAACTTGGAGCACGTTCGGGTTAGTTGATTAAAAGTTGCTGACAAACATCAAGTGTTAGAAGCTGATTCTATAAAGGGAAAAGGGCCAAATATACCCCTTTACTTTCGGATATTGTCTACATTTAACCTCTGTTATACTATCCGGCCAAATTTATCCCTGCCGTTATACTATCCGGCCAAAATGTACCCCTACCATCACCAAACTTTTAAAAATTACCCTTGATCTATTAAGTAATTCAAAATCTCCAATTTCCTTTTATTTAAATCACTTGTTGTTCTTCTTGCTCCATTATTTCCAGAAATTACTATTGATGTGAATGCTAAAGGTACTAGATTATACAAATTATTTATGGAAATTTTTAATTACCAACGCACCCACTTCTTTTCTTGTGATAATGAGTTTGGAATTAGTTTAAAATTTTATTTATTTTTCAACCATATACACACCGTAGAATTTAGTGGGTCTATTTATTGTGTATTATATACAACTGATCATCATGTATGTACATGTATATTTGAATATATTTTGTTATTATCTGGTTAGTTTAGAATTCGATCGACTAACTTAAGAGTGCACAATATGTAGCATTTGATTAAAGCAAAGTTAAATTTGACAATGTAAAGTCTCCAAGGAACTTCAACTTCTATCACTAATACTTGCAAAGTCTCCATATCTTTGGTGCAACGAATTCATTAAAGATGAGGTGTTGTAAATACTTTTGAATTTTAGACAAGCTACCTAATTTAGATTATTCAATTTACTATACTTTGTTTACTAACCGATGTATTATTTTAATATTTTTTTTTCAATTAAGAAAACAGGTAAATGCCAATTATTTCGAAAATAGTGGATCATGAAGAAGAATAAGTGACTTAATTAAAATAATTTGGGAGATTCTGGGTCACCTGACGGACTAAGGGGTAATTTTTAAAAGTTTGCTGATGGTAGGGGTAAATTTGGCCGGATAGTATAACGATAGGGGTAAATTTGGCCGAATAGTATAACGGAGGTTAAATGTAGACAATATCCGAAAGTAGAGGGGTATATTTGACTCTTTTCCCTTTTATAAATAAATGATTTAAAGTTGCTGACAAGCATCAAGTGCTGAAAAACACTTTTAGGTGCTAAAGCTGATTTTTTAAATAAGCACTTACATGTTTAGATAGAAGTGGTGAAACTAATAATAAGAAGTATGCTTGGTAAAAAGGTGTTGATAAGCACTTTTTCTATTTAAAATGACTGATATATCCTTAAAGTTGTTAACAAAATGTAAGTTTAAAAGTATTTTTACATGGAAAAGGACGAATAGCGGTAATGGAATAAAGAATAGTTAGAAGTTCTTTTTTTCTAGGAAGATTATTTCGGAGATCACAATAAAATGAAAGTTTGGTCAAACCAAAAGTGCTTCTAAGCTGAAAATCCATAAGTTGTGGTGACTGACTTTTGCTTGATTTTGGCTTATACGCACTTTTGGTGTTTACGAAACGAGTAAATAAGCTAGAAAGTACTTATGAGCTAGTTTGACCAGCTTATAAACTTTGGACAGGAAAGTGATTTAAGCTCCTTATGATTTCGTATAACTAAAGGATCAAACCTGATTTTTTTTAGAGATGATCCCTTTGGGGCTAAGTAAAAGAAGTTTCATATCTCTCCAAATTTCGGTATCCTCTTTGAAGCATACATATTAGTTCTGATGTATTAAGCTTACTAAATCATTCTAAAGTAACCCAACATCCAATATGTGCAGTTGTCGAGGAAAGAAAATTGGGAATTTATAGGGAGAAGGATATAGCCCTGACTGATAAATTAACAGAAGGAAAACGAAATGCAACTCATCTTACGCTTAAACAGACTCCATTAGAGGGATTACCATGAAAACATGAGTATTATGTGGTGATAGCATGTTCTAGAAGGCGAATATTTAGCTAAAGGTAGTCATAGAAAGCCTCTTTTATCAGTATCATCTTCCACATATTCTATAGATGGCCTCGTGTCCTAGGTAGAAGAGGGATATGCAGTGTTTGTTCCGTATCATGCAGCTTCAGATTTATTCACCTTAAATTGTTGCAAAAATTAGTGATTTGCGCTGATTGTTGGTGGAAGACAGACTTAAAAGAGAGCTCACTAATGGAGAATATACCTTCTTTTCGCTTAAAAGAATGTTGATATTTGAATAAATGAAGTCTACTCTTCAAATATGTACTTTCCAATAGCATCAAAGAAAGGAGGAGGGGGGCTTGAAATATAATTGCTTTCCAGTAGCATCAAATAAAGGAGGAGGGGCGCTTGAAATGTAATTCCCATTCTTTCCTAATGCTTGGCGGGCATAGGAATTACGGTATTTAGATACACTTACCCCAAAAAATAAAAAAAGAGACATTCACATGGAGCTTTAGCTTTCCTATGACGTGATGTCAATTAAACGAAAAATTTGACAGTGTACCTGTTATTCGACATTTATGGTCATTGCAAAGGAGAAATAAGATGAATTTTTCCAGTTTGTTCTGGTGACATGATTGCTAGGTCCTTTTCTCGGGATATATCAATTTGCCGACTGGGTGAATCATTATTCAATTATTCTATCCTGCTTTCTCTATTTTTTCATAGGAATTTGATACTCCATGTATGTTTCTTATCATGTCCGCATAAGTTCATCTCCTTTGCAAAGTTTACCTTTCTAGTATAAAGGTGAAAGTAGTCAAATACATAAAGGTTAGTTGCTTTGAGAACTAAATTTAACTTGAATCAAGGAATGGAGAATTGATTTAATTGTTGTTGCAAACCATAGCTATAAGTTATATAACTTCAATCTAGGAATGCGCGGTGCCTTAATATAGATTCTCTACTTTTTGGTATACCTCTTGTATACCATAGCTTTTCCCATTTTTAATAAAATTATTTACCTCATTAAAAAAAAAAAAAGGAACAGACTGTGCCTCATCAAAAAAAAGTCTAGGAATGGATTGTGAAAATTTGCTCCAATATCATGTTGATTTAGAGCAGTGTTGTGAAGAGCGTGAAGCGAGAAAAAGCGACAAACCCCATTTCGCTTAAAGCGAGAAGCGAGAAGCGAAGCGCTCGCTTTTTTGAAGTGAAGCGAAATTTAAAAAAAAATAAAAAATAATATTGCATAGACAACACATGTAATTGTAAGCAAATGTTCAATACTTCAATATAAAAACTAAATAGTAGCATCAATTAAAGCACAAAATGAGCATCCTATTCTTCTACAAGATTGTCAAATTCTTGTATTCCACTATTATTATTATATAGCTCGTCATCTTCTTCAACTTCTTCTTCATCAACTAGGGACAAAGTAGCTGCCTCTTTTCCCTTCCTCTGTGAACTTGAAG